CAGGCTTAGCTAAGTGCATCCCCATTTGGGAGCTGTCCCTTATCAAAAGAAAACATCTTTAAATCAGCCTGCCTGAATAGCTTCTCTGTGGCTGCACCACAGAGATGAAGAGGGAGATGGGGCCTCATTTGGGAAAGCACAGCAACACTTAATTCTGCCTTATTAACAAGCATTGCCGCTACATGACCATACATCCAAAATTCTTTGCGCAAGAAGTGCTATTCTGTGGGAGAATTCACTTAATACTTTATCCAACAGATTGTAGCTCATGATCAGCAATTGTTGAAGATAATGTAATTATGATGCACAAATGAATAAACAACTTGAGGTCATTCAGAAGTCTTAGTCTAATCATTTAACTAGCACTGACTTGCTACTTATTTGAATACTGCAATTAATTAGTACAGGATTAAGGAGACTGTGAAATCACTTCTTCCACAAGGTGAAATGTTAAAGACAGCTTGAATTCCTTTGTTGAGATCCATAATTCAAAAACGACACCAGGTAATGGCATTACAGATGCTTACTGTACAATTCCAAGAGGAAGCAAAAGAATATGTGGAATAAGAATCTGTTGTTTAGTGTCTGTGGTAAAATGTGTAGCCAGTAAAAGTAGTGGATACGTACAGTACCTGGTATACAGACTGGAAATATAGTAAAAGTATTATCTTTGCTCCACCTTCACGCAGTATCCTCAGAAACGTGACTTGTAAGTGAAAGGTTTGTTTTTAGTCATGGAAATAACTGAAATGTACTTAAATGGTAAAGAAAAAAGAAGGAAAGAAAATGTGTCTGTAAGAAGGTTTAGAATGAACTGTAAAAGTAAGAACAATACTGCACCCCCAGCATGAATATATTCTGAGAGATAACACAGACTAAATGGACAACACAAAATACTGAACTGATGCAGAAGTGGGATGCAGCTCCTTGAGTATACTGTATGCAGCATTAATTGCTAACAAATTGCTATTTTTAAGATAAATATTTGCTGTAAAGCATATTTTCTGTTGATTTTCTTTAAAACAGTTAATAAGGTGTAACATCATTAGGCAATTATAATAATTCTGCTTTTTGAAATCTTCTTTTTTTCTGTTATGTCTTTGTGTTTGG